ACTCACTCTTGAGATGGGATGTTTAACAAAATCACTAGAGTGTAAATTCCTCATGATAATTGTGGGGATATGCCTGTCCCGGACTGTACCACCCATGGACAGCATGGGTAAAGCAGAAATGGATTGCTGCCCATCTCTGCCATGCCTAGATTGAATGAATCGCTGTGGTCTGCTTTTTGAAATAGGGTTTCATGATCTCAGGTGTTGCAGTCCCTACAGACTCTCCACTGCACTTTTTCTCCCTTTCTTCCAATGGAGTACAAGAGTCCTTATCACTTACTAGTTCCAAGCCACTGGGGTGGTTGACAATGGAGGCAACCTGCTGGATGGGTTCCACAAAGATGGCTACAACCATTCAGTTCAGAGTAGGATAGCAGTGCTCTTCCAGTGTGGAGGGATTTCCAAGATCCTCCAGATGAGTGACTATTTCCTGGAGTTGAGACACCCAAATGCAGTCATCCTTCCGATTGGGTACCCTCCTCATATTCTCACATGGATATATGGATATTGGTACTCAGTGAGTGAGGTTTTGGATGTAGTTGACTTACCAAATACAGTCTGTTGCACCCTAGCCACTTTACACCATGGGACACATCCTCACTTGCCCACTTTCCATTATGGGACTGAGTGATTCTGTTTTCTGTTTAAAATCACATTGCCAAAATATCCTCTCCCATACGGATGTGCTCCCTTTAATGTTCTGCCATGCCATACCTGGCTCAGATGTAGTGCGGTACCCCTCCTCAGATCATCTTATATGTTCTTCTCATTTCGGGGGTGTGCTCTGGACACTTATGGGGGATATGCATGTGCTTCCGATGCACCGTTTGAGTGGAGGGAGAGTACCTTTTCGGAAGTTATAATTTTCCTAAATGAAAATGTATTTCTGATAGATACTTCCCTCCTCTCACACTTCCCACCTGTCCTCCCCACAATCTTATGGTGCTCGCGTCTTCTGACAAACTTTGAAGTGATAGTTTGATAGTGGCATGTAGAGGGAGTCACATGCATCACGTGATATTAGTGCTTTCCTATTGGTGGAGAGATGACGCATGATGATTTGCATGAGAGACGTGTTGGGAAGATGAAGGCTTGTGGCATGCATTTCTGAAAAAAAGTTCACATATAGAGGTTTTTCAGGTTCTAACAGAAGGTATATTTCATCAATTTTCTGCCCTCTTTATCTTTACTACCCATTTCCTTTCTCCCTCCATGGGATCACATATCATGTCAACATCTCTTGGAAGCAATTCATGATCTTTTGCAAAAGGGCATTATCAAACAAGTATTTTACATTTCTTCAGGGTTTTATTCCTTGATGTTTGTGGTTCCCAACTGGGGATTGGCATTTTGTCATCAATCACTCAAACCTCAACTGCCTCTTCATCCTCCTGCAGTTCACCATGGGGTCTTTCTTCACCCTTTGTTGGTCATTTATTTTAGGTCTTTGGATGACCAATGTCTCAAATGCACACCTTCATGTCCCCATTTCTCCTGCATCCAGATGTTACCTTTAGTTTCTCCATGGGGGTCCAGTGTTTCAGTTCTGTGCTCTATTTGTTGGTCTGGCATTGGCACTATACATTTTCTGTTGTGTGGTCAAAGCCTTTGCTTCTATCTCTGAATTCAGGGTTTGCAGTTCCATCATTATATGGATGACTGGCTCTTTTTTAGCTCTGTCCCAACAAGCCTCTCACTAACATACTCATTTCCTCTTACAGGTGGCAGCTCTTGTGAGAAGGCTTGTTAAGCTGGAAAAACTTATCTCACCTCCATGCAGTATCTTATCCATTTGGGGTGTTTTTCAACACTTACCTCAGCAGGGCCCAGCCTTTTTGTTTGAGGTCAATGAAGCTCTTGATTTCCAAAGTCAAGTCCTTTCCCTCTCTACTTGCACACAAGATTCTACTTCCTTTTTGGGTCCTGGGCTTCCATGGATGCCCTCATACACTACAGTTGTTCACACATGTATTGTCTCAAGTAGGTGTTCATGATCAATGGAATCTTGTTTGGGATCCCATCCTCCTCCCTACTTCCCCAAGAGAGACAGAGACAACACCCTTGCTGGTATTTTTCTACCTCCTCCCCATCCCAATTTGCACCTTTTTATGGATGCTTCTCTTACAGGGTGAAGAGCATATCTGGATTCTCAAGAGATCTGTAATCATCGGATGATGGTCAAATCTTCCATCCACATTAATTTTTTTGGAACTTCTTGTAGTTTGTCGAGCCTTGGATTATTTTCTACCTTTAGTAAGGGGCCATTCCTAACAATTAAACCATTGTCTCTTACATCAATGAACAAGGGGGCACCCGTTCTCATTCACTTTGTTTTTAAATCTTGGATTTTCTTTTCTGGGCCCTGTCTTAGCAAGTTTGTCTTCCTGTTTATCATTTTCCAGGTGTTATGAATCTTGTAGCAGATTGGTTATCTCATCCCAACAAGATTATACCTACAGAATGGTCTCCTGCTCTACCAGTGTTATGGTGGTTATGCTCAAAGTTTGGTACTTGTTTTCTGGATGCATTTTCCATCAATCTCAATAACTAACTGCTCTTGTTCTGGTCTCCAGTTCCACATCTCATGGCTTTGGCGGTGGATGCCTTCAGTAAGGATGCCATAGAGGTCTGTAACACTCACTGAAGAAATGAGGTGTTTCATTAGACTGCTGGAGGTTGCCTCCCAGTATCTTGCTTTATAAATAAGGCCCATATCAGACTGTACCAACTTATGGGCTATCATGAGTAAAGCAGTGTTTCCAGATTGCAGCCCATCCTTCCAGTCCTAGTTGAATAAACCTAGACTGGCCTGCTTTTCAAAATAAGGTTTCATGTTCACTCATTGCACTATTTTACAGTGTTTGTATTTCTCTGGCCTCCTCATGATGTTGTTCCCAGTAGCTGCTGGGGTAGTGGACCATGGAGGCTTTCTCCTGATTGTGACAGATTTCACACAGTTGAGAGTAAGATGGTGGTATTCTGTTGGGGGAGATGGTGATTACTCTCCTCCCACTGCTGACAAGAGGAAAAATTCCTATGCATCTTTGTTTTTGACTGGACAAATCCACCACATGCAGTTCACCCCCCTCTGGCTGGCTTTCCCCCATCTTACTAATGCCTGAATGTTGTTTCTCAGATGGTCTGGTGTTAGACTGGCACAGGACCAGCCAACAGAAGTCTTCTCACATGTGGTTGGTATTGACCCTCCTCCTACCGTGGATCAGATAACAAATTCCTGATGCCACCTTGTTTTGGACTGAAATTGATCCACCTCATTTGCATGCCCCCTTCCTACAGTCGCCGAGATGTCAGGTTCCCAGAAGGCCTAGTATTGGTTGTGTACTGGGTATGCACATGTGTGCCCTGCTTAGATTCTCAGAACAAAAATTGTTTTTCTCTTCCACTTCCTGGTATTGAGGAGATGTTTGGGACTCTCCTCTTACTACACACTGGAAAACAAATACTCAATGCCACCTGGTTTTGCACTGGAGTTGACCCACCAAATATGGTCTGATGCAACCTAGCTACTCTACACCTTCTGGCTCATCCAATTACAGATTGGACAGGAGTCTTTTCTGCCCATTTATATGTTTTATGCTATTGGTGTTTACAATTGTTTGTTTCGAAATCAAAATTTAGGAAAACTGTATGTATATGTTGTTTATTAAACTTATCTGGATTATTTTGACATACCTTTCTTTATTTTATAGTTAATATAATTAGTTACTTTTATATACATTAAAAAACATGAAAACTTGTTCAAGTAGATGTAGGAAGGAGAAAATTTCGTTAATGTCTTTTGATTAAGTGACTACCTGTTAGATATACGTGACTGTTTCTGTTTAAGTTTAATCCAAGAGTTATGATTTAGATAGTTATATAGCGTGAGTGTTAAATTTGATTATTTTTAGAAGGAGTAGTTTATCTCAGGTTTGTTTATGTAATTATTTACAAATCATATGTTGTGTAGTGCAATAGTTATTTTTAGAAGCAATAGTTTATTGCGGCTTTGTTTATGTAACTGTTTACGAATCATATGTTGTGTAGTTCAGTAGTTATGAATTGGTGATTATTATTATTCTATTATTCTAGAACTCTATCAGGGTATAAATGCATCTCAAAAATGTAGTTCAGTATAGTTAGATCTAGTCTTTGTGATTGTGAGTTTAGCCATAAAGAGCATATAGTGGCAATGTTTAAAGTGAAATTAACACAGATTGTATTGTAATAATAGAATAGAGAAGAATAATAATTCATCTTATCAATTGTGTTCTAAAGTAACTGAACCTGCCTGCTTGGACTTTGATGAAAAAGAGACAATTATTTATAGCTCTTGATACAACTGTGGTAACCAAAAGTTACAGTGGTGATTTTAAGATGAAATTATCACAGGTTGTGCTAATAAAAGAGCAGGAAGAATAATTTGTCCTGTCAAACTGCATTCTAAAGTACCTGAACCTGCCTGTGTGGACTTTGATGAAAAAGAGACAATTATTTAAAGCTCTGGATACAACTCTGATAACCAACAGTGTGATGATTATTCAAATATACATTTGAATTGTTTTAAAATAATAAATTAAAACAAGTCAAATAAGGTGCTGTTTGTTCATTGTTGAAATGTATTGCTAACAAGTCACAGACACCTACTGCAAAGAATCCAGCCCATACATAAAAGTTAACACTACCTATCTTGGCTGTTTGGCTATTACACTAATTATGTATTCTTTATTTTGTAGAGATTTTAACCATCGTTATATTTTCAGTTATTAATGCACTGCTTGTTTGAGAAAGATACACTTAAGATTATAAATGATAAATGAAGCATTTAAAAAAAGATCTTTTTCTCAAAACTGTGAATTATTATTTTTACTTTAGTCAACATGTATAGGAGCTGAGATAAATAATTGTACTTGATTGTACAGACAGTGCATTTTGATGTGACTAGTTGAAATAGGCTTAAACTACAAGCTTTTAATTAATGAGTATTCCTCTTTCTACAGTGCACAACTGATGCTGTCTACAGTTTCTCTTAAAGAGCTTCTTACTTTGTCTTGGAGTCACCTGAAAAATACTTTTCCATGGATAAGTGTCAGAATTCTGAAGGTATTAATTATCCAAAACTTGAATTATGTTTCTGTTATCATAGATAATTCTAACAGCCTGTAATATTTCTGAACATAATAATTTTCGTAACTACTTTGAAAGCGTTAAGCATCAAATACTGGCAAAAGGTAGATATTAAAACAGTAGCAGTTACCTATTGTAGTATTTTTGAGATATATTTGAAAATGATATTACTGGCTGTCATAATTTTGCTCTTGTAAATGTCTCCTTGTTATTTTCTTTAAGAATAAAATTTTCTAAAACTATTTTATTCCTTCACTACATTAAATATTGTTAATGGTTAATTGTGATTCCTAACAATTAATAAAAAATACCCTTTTTGAATTTCCTGAAGTGGTATTTGGTGCAAGATAAAGTTACATTCATTATCATTTTACCTGTTGAATGTCAGATGTTCGACTGAGTTGACACATAAGCTACACATTTCAGCCTTAAGCTGTTTGATGGAATTCTGTTGAACCTAAACCTATATATTTGTACGGAAAAATTTATCTGATAGTATTTTAAACCAAAGAATACATTAATGCTCAAATTCACTTAAAGAGCTACATATTAGTCACTGCTGTGTTAAATCTTTCATTCTAATATATATATTTAAGAATATGATAATACCTAATTATTTTAAAACTTACTAGTAAACATTTATTATAGTGGTTTGATTAGTAACATCATTAAAATAGTGTAAATTAGGTTATACTGTTAATTGTTATTTTTTGTTTATAATTTTATTATTTTTTGTGTTTATAGAATTGTACAGTTTGTCTAAAACACTTACCTTATCAACTTGAGTCTCTCTTGGACAAATTAAATTGACTGGTGATAAATAAAATCTGTAAAATTCCATTTTGTATTAACATGTAATACTTTGAATATCATCACTTGGACTATATATATTCTGTGGAAGTGGCTAACCTTCTAAGGAAATTGGTTTGCATTTGTTGATGTCAGGTTTTTTTTATATGGGCTGGGATTCTTTTACAGTAGGTGTCTGTGACTTGTTGGTGATAAATTTGAACAGTAAATGGACAGCACACAATCCACTTGTTTTAAAATAATATATTCAATACAAGTTGAACATATGCTCAAAAATTCGTTACATTGTAGGATATCACAGTTGTATCCAGAGCTTTAAATAATTGTTTCATTTTCGTCAAGGTCCACACAGGTGGGTTCAATTACTTTAGAACACCCTTTGACGAGACAAATTCTTCTTCATTATCTATGTTTTTACAGTACCTCTTTGAACTAACTTTAGGTATTGCCTGTTTTGGCTAAACTAACAATCACACAGTGTAACTTCACTTTCACTATCTTAACTTTTTATAAGTTACTTCATACTTGCTGTATCTACACATATTTATAACATGCAACAGAAAAATATAGAACTGTCTAGCCCTCTAGTAGAAACAATATTACACATAACAAGAAAAACATGGAAACTTTGAGTAAGATGACATCAGTAATATTACAAAAGCCTAGTACAATTAAACTACATACGCAATGTATAATTCATAGACTTACGTATGAAATTTGTCACAACCATCATTTTTAAACTAATCCATTTTTAACACTTTTGTTATGAAAACTAAATAATTATTAAATATTAAATCACTAAAAAACTAAATAATAACTCTTATACTAAACAGTCTTGTATCCAACAGTTGGAATAGATGTTGATGAGTATAACTTATTCCTTGCTGTGTTTTTTATGTTTCAGATATTTTACCAGTTTGTAAATCAACCATCAGCAGTTCATCAGGTAGGCCTGCTGAATCATGCTTCTTCACATGGTGAAGAACACGCTGTAAATGAAGCTAGTTACAGTAATGTCCTGAACTTGAGCTTTCCTGTATTGTCTGAATCTGAACCATTTGATTTATTGAACTTAAATAAAGCCAATAGAATGCAACAGAACTGTGCTGCTACTTTGACACCATACCGTACTGATAGCAGTGTTAGGGAAAATGAAACACAGAAGTCACTTGAGCAGTTACAACAAAGAAGTTTTAAAAACAATTTTCAGGAAAACGAAGATGTTGTGAATCTGTCTACATGGAATGAAATAAAATCATCTAATGGGAATGAGCTTTGTTGTCCTGATAATCCAGTATTAGAGAACACTAGTAGAAGTACATGGCTAGGTCAGGGGTCACATAATGATACTCAGTATGCTGATAGAAAATCTAATGTCCCTCTATCTTTATCTCAAACATATAATACCTTTGGAGTATCGTCAGCTTGTGTTCATCGTTCTTGTCGACAACGATATAAGAAGGACAACCTCACTGGGGGATACTCAACATGTACTGAGAGTATCCTTACAGATCATGATAAGTCAATATTGGTCCCTCAGTTAATGCTGGATCATGATTTTCAAGATATAAAACCTTCACATGCCTTAACAGAAACTGACAATCTCAACTATGTATGTAGATGGCCTGATAATATGTATACAAAGAAATTCAATGTTGATAATAATTTAAGCAAATGCCACCAAAGAAAACAAGATTTTTCATGCTTATACGGGTCTGAACTTCTCAGTCAGAAGGATGCTTCACAGAAAGAACTGCAGTTTTGGGGGCAAAATAATGTTCAGCAAGCTCAAGAACAATTTTCGTCACTTTATAGGATACAACAGCAAGATCAAGAAACAAAACTCTCAGATTATCTGGTATCAGGAAGAAGTAATTTACCAGTAAGTTTTAAATCATCTTGTTGGAAAGACAACAAGTCATCTCAAATAGACAATGACAGTGAACACTTAGCTGAACAACCAGCTATTCATAGAAAACCAGTCAGTAATGTGGGTATTGCTTATCCTTTTCATCAACTGTCTACATGTTTTGATGGTAGGTTTATTTGTAAGATATTCTACATAACATTGTTCATTTACTTCTGATTGAAATTAGCTTGTGGTTTATAAAATAGCAAGAGCTAGGTTTAATAAATTTGAAAAGTGGAACGAAATATTTAGTCTGAAACCTTTATATCTTATTTCGATTGAATATATTTCTTCTTATGAGTTTAAGCATTCAAAGCATAATTGATTGCACTATAAGCTACCTCAAAGGTAGACATTCAAAAACTGTTCTCACATAATTATAATAATTCTTTTGCTCTGTATTTTATACTTTTTGTGTTTTTGAGCTTTTATAGAAATATTATTTAAATACCTGTGGATGTGCAAAAATTAATGTTTCAACCAGATACTGTATATTTGAAAAAGCTAGTTAACTAAGAATATCGCACCCAGATAGTTGATATACTTGTTCAAACAGACAACTTCATTAATTTCATAGAACATTGGAAATTATGAGACATGTAAGTACATATGAAATTTTGAAGAAAAGTAAATAACTTACAGACTGAATAGGATGAAATAGAAATACCTCAACAAAGAATCATATAATAATTCCATGTGAATACTCATATTATTGGCTGTGACTTGTGTCTATAACTGGCAATAATATTATGAACAGTTTAGTCTCACTGGACATGTTCAATACTTTGTGAGGTATTAAGTTATCATTATTTCTTCTTTCAAATCCAAGTGTCTGTTGGTATGTAATCACTACATATATCATGATACCATTACACACTTATTACATTACACATACACATAATAACTTACAAGTTTCTTACTTACACTTTATGTAATTGTCAGGTTTTTATACCTAGGGATTGTGGATTCTTTACAATAGGTGTCTGTGACTAGTTGGTGATAATTCAAACAATAAACGGACAGCACACAATCCACTTTTTTAAAAATAACATATTCAATACAAGTCGAACATATGTTCAAAAATTCGTTACAATATTGGTTATCACAGTTGTATACAGAGCTTTTAATAATTGTCTCCTTTTTATCAAAGTCCACACAGAGGGGGTTCAATTACTTTAGAACACCCTTTGACAAGACACATTCTTCTTCTTTATCTCTGTTGTTATAATGCCACTGTGAAACTTACTTCAAATATTGCCTGTTATGGCTAAACTAACACTCACACAGTCTAACTTCACTTTCACTAAATTAACTTTTTCTAAGTTACTTCTTACTTGCTGTATCCACATGTATTTATAATGTACGATTTATACAGAATTACGTAATGAAACTTTTCACTTTTAATTTAATCAACTTTTAACACTTTTGTTATGTAAATTAAATGATCAATAAATATTAAATCACTAAATAAATTAAATATATTCAACAGTAATTATCTTGCTTATCTTAAACTACAGTATATGATGTAACTCAACAATCAAATGCATTGTAAAATATGTTTATTATTGACTGACTTGTGGAATAATTTTAAATTTATGACATAGTTATGTACTGAGCTCTGGTACATAAATAATTAACTGCCAAGCTGTGAGAGGAGTTAGTAGTTTTTCTTTACTATTGATTCTATAGACATTACCATGTACGTTTTAAACTACTGTTGCCTGATTAGATTTGACTTAGCATTTGAGTATCACTTTTTCAGGGTTTATGAATTGTCTTGTGTAATTTATATGTTAATAAACAATTCCTATGATTACTCAGTGTTTTGTTATTTAGCTATTCGAGGCTATCGTGGGTGAACTAGTCATACCTGGTGTGAAACTAGATCATTACAGCTTCTTTAAGTCTTAACCTGAAGTATGCCCTAAAATATGTATAAATTAAAACATGTTGATAGATGTTATGTTAGCAATAATTAATAAAAAAATAAGACAGGCACATGATTATTGTTAGCATTTTAAAATATAAAAAAGCCCTGTGTGAAAATTATTTGAAGGAGCTGGTAATTTTAAAGTAAACTGCATATTGTGTAGCCAGTTACTTTCATGTGGTGAATAGGTAAAGCATTTTGAACTACCCCATTGTACATTTACTTGAACAATAAACATGTTCAAGAATTTACAATAAACTTCAGAATTATTTTAAAATCCATTAAATCAGTTGTGAATCAGTTTAAGAGATCACTCTATTCATGTAATTTATAGTAATGAACTAGGATTTAAGTGTATGTGAATACTATAGGAATTGATGTTTCATTTTTGAGTTTAGTTATTCTAAAAATGTGTCAGTAAGTGAGTGTTTACTTTAGTAGATTGTAGTTGACAAGTGAGGAATTTTATATCAATAAAAATAATAACCACAACATCAACACTTCATATTCAAAATTGTGCATATGAACGTTGATGTCATGATTTTTATTGAAAGTGTGCACAAGACCTGTCAGTCTAACGTATTGAATTTTACTTCATCTTTTTTACTAACCTACATATGTATTGTTACGTCTCCGTTTGTTAATTGATTTTTCCGTAACTTCGTTCCGACGAAACTTTAGCG